GGGCAGCTGCCAAGCTGCCACCGAGAGAAGACAGAGGAACCCACAGGGAACGTTCATGGTGGGTCAGGTCCACCAGGCAGGGTGGGTGGGGGGCTTCGCACGGTGCCCCTGGCCGTGGGAGGGAGCAAGCTGGCTTCAGCCCAAGGCCAGGCTTGGGCAAAGGTGCTGCCAGCTGCCGCCAGGCCGTCTGGGAGAGCAGCAGCCTGCTGTTCCCCCTGCTCCAACTAAAAAAAGGAAGCCGAGATTTCAAGGGCACGGGAGGCAAAGAAGCTACGGGTTCCTGCCGCTTCCCTCTCCCTCTTCCAGAGCCAGGCGCTGCCCAGGGGAGAAGCCCAAGGTGCCAGGCGCAGGCCAGGCCGCAGGTGCGCCGGCGGCTGCCCTCCGCCTGCCCAGAGGGGCAGCTGGGATGCTGGCGGCCGCCAGAAAGCGGGAGATTGGAGCGAAGGAAGGAAGGCAAGGTGGCCGAGTGGCGTTCATGTGACCGCAGGGTGCCAGGCTGGGGAGGGGAGGGGAGGGGAGGCAGCCCAGCAGCGAGGTGGGGAAGGAGAGGAGACGGGCGGGCAGCCAGAGGCTGGGCCCATGGTTGGCGTGGAAGAGGGTGGAGTGGGGAGGGGGGGATTTGCTGTCTGTTTATTTAGCTGTGGCCTGCCTTTGTGGTTTTGTGCAAAGAACTCCAGGCAGGGAATGCATCCCACACAAATCCCTCTTCCTCACCACAACCACCCTGCGAGGTAGGCTGGTTTGGGAGCAAGAGGGGGGAGGGATGGAGAGGCAGGGAGAGAGGGAGGGAGAGAGGGAGGGAGAAAGAGAGAGGGAGGGAGAGGGAGGAAGAGAGAGGGAGAAGCAGGGAGGGAGAGGCAGGGAGAAAGCGAGAGAGGGAGGGAGAGGGAGAGAGAGAGGCAGGGAGGGAGGGAGAGGGAGGGAGGAAGAGAGAGAGGGAGGGAGAGGGAGGGAGGCAGGGAAAGAGAGAGGGAGAGGGAGGAAGAAGGAGGGAGAAGCAGAGAGAGGCAAGGAGAGAGGGAGGGAGGGAGAGGGAGAGGGGGGATCGGCACAGTCACTCAACTGGCTTTGGTGCCTGAGGTGGAACTAGAACTCACCGTCTCCTGGTGATTGGCCCAAAGTCACCCAGTGGGCTTTCAGGCCTAAGGCGGGACTAGAACTCCCCCGTCTCCTGGTGATTGGCCCAAAGTCACCCAGTGGGCTTTCAGGCCTAAGGCGGGACTAGAACTCCCCCGTCTCCTGGTGATTGGCCCAAAGTCACCCAGTGGGCTTTCAGGCCTAAGGCGGGACTAGAACTCCCCCGTCACCTGGTGATTGGCCCAAAGTCACCCAGTGGGCTTTCACTAAGGCGGGACTAGAACTCCCCCGTCTCCTGGTGATTGGCCCCAAATCACCCAGCCAGCTCTCATAGCTAAGGTGGGACTAGAACTCACTATCTGGATTTGGGGGGGGGGGGGCGGCGGCAGTGTCCTTAGGCACGTCGAGAGTGCTTTTTCCGTCCCACTGAGACTCTCCTTATTGGCTGAGACGCAGCTCTAAAAAAAACGGGGGGGATTTCTTTCAGATCCAGCAGTGACCCCGTCTGAGCAACTGGTTAAATGGGTCTGTTGCATTAAAACAGAGCAACTTTTATTTTAATGGAATTTTTAAATTTTAAGACCCTTATTTACCGCTTTCACGTTTTAATACTTTGTTTTATTCCGTCTCCGTAAGCCGCTTAAAGTCACCCTGGGCGAGATGGGTGGCATACAAATTTGATAAAATAGAACAGAACAGAATAGAATCTGAAAGGGAACTTGGAGGTCTTCTAGTCCAACCCCCTGCTCAGGCAGGAAACCCTATACCATTTCGGACACTTCCAGTGTTGGAGCATTCACCGCTTCTGGAGGCAGGTTGTTCCACTAGCTAATTGTTCTCACTGTCAGGAAGTTTCTCCTTAGTTCTAGGTTGCTTCTCTCCTTGATCAGTTTCCATCCGTTGCTTCTTGTCCTGCCTTCAGGCGCTTTGGAGAATAGCTTGACTCCCTCTTCTTTGGGGCAACCCCTGAGATACTGGAACGCTGCTATCATGTCCCCCCTCGTCCTTCTCTTCATTAAACTAGACATCCCCAATTCCAGCATCCGTTCCTTGTATGTTTTAGCCTCCAGTCCCCTGATCATCTTTGTTGCTCTTCTCTGCACTCTTTCTAGAGCAGGCATGTCAAACCCGCGACATCACGTGACGTCGCACAACGTATCGGGCCGGTTTTGCCATTGCCGGCAATGGGGTGTGCGCGGCTTCCACGTGATGCATCCAGCCCGCGGGCCGGCAGTTTGACACCCCTGTTCTAGAGTCTCAACATCTTTTGAAGCTGGAGGACAGAAGGAAGAGATTCTGAACCAGGATACCGGGGACCCACGTGGGCCTGTGGGTGGAGATTCTGCCCCCCCCAGCCCACCCACCCAATTAAAAACCCCACTTCCCTGTTTTGGACCAGACCAGGCGCAGGACATCCTTGGAAAAGGAGGATCAGAGAGAGAGAGAGAGAGAGAATACAAGGGGCTTCTATTGACAAGAATCGGGGAGCAGGGGAAGGGGGGTCCGAAGGGGTGATGCCGGGGGTCTCGGCCGGCAGGCTGGAAGAGGGCTGGCTGCCACTGGATTACTTGGCCGTTGAGGAGGAAGGAACCGGATCGTTTACGGAGTCCTGGGGTTTGGTGGGGTCTTCCTGGAGAACTGGGGCACGCTTCTGTTGCAGATGCTCTTTGTGTCTGGCTCTGCGGGGGGGGGGGAAAGGAGGGTCAATAACACCCCTCAAGTGCTCCCGCTCGGCAGACAAGACACCCCCAAATCCCCGCTCTCTCTCCTCATGGCTGTATTTCAAAGGGGCCGTGCGAGTAGCTCTCAACTTACAACCATTCATTTAACGACCGTTCCAAGTCGCAACGGCACTGAAAAAAAGGGACCGATTTCCAGAGTGACCGCTTTTCCAGCACCCCCCCCGTGGGTCACGTGATCAAAACGGACTCTTATTTATGACGGTTGCAGCGTCCCGGGATCACGGGATCCCCTTTTGCGACCGTCTGACAAAGCAAAGCTGATGGGGAAGCTGGATTCACTTAACGACCGGCTTACTCAC